CCTATTTGACGGTCGTCTTTATTCCATAAGCATGTGTACATAAATTCGATATCGTCGGTAAATGATGATAACGTTTTCTTACTAATGATGATTACGTTTTACTTTTTGATGATCGCTCTACGTTATCCATGCTTATCAAATTCGTTGCTCGCTCTGGCATTCTCTTAAGCCAGAAAAAGACAGAAGACAAGAAACAAACAAGAACGTAAAAAGTATATTGTAGATCAAGCTTTAGTGATGTCAATATAGTGTTTTGAAACACATATACGCTCACAAAAATTTGTTCTGAGGAGCAAAATTGATTGAAACGTTGATTTTTCCTCAAATCGACTCTACATTGTCAGAATTGCAACTCTTTTATAAAATCCCATAAGAACAGGTCGTTCAGGTTTATACAACCAGATGATCAAATTTCAATCTGTGGTCTAAAAGGTTTGTTGGCCGAGATACGAAAAGTCGTTGGATTTACCGGCGATCTGATGACATAAAGATGAGACCGAGCGTCAGGATCAGGAATCAGAGTGAACAGAGGGTCGAAATAGAATCATCAAGAATGCCGGGCATGCCACAACCTTAAATCTGCCGGCCGATACCGATCTCGCTTCTATCGATAGTCTTATGAGCGGCCTTAACTGGATCCTGGAAACGCGACGATTCGTCGACGACTTTACGACAGTCGTTACAGACGTCCTGTCGATTCCGTCCGCGGCTAATTGAACGTTTTCTCACAAGATGAGAGAGCGGGCGAGAAGGAAAGCAGGACCCCGGCGACGTTACTCGAGCTCTCATTTGTAACGATCGCAATCGGCGATCTACTTACATGAGTACGAACTAATCTTCCAATTAGCACTGTAGTAGCTGCGTACTTAGCTCGATAAAATTAAATTAATAATGACTCAGGTATATACGCGCGCTATATGATGCAGCTTTTACTAAGTATCCAGCTTGATGTTATTAGTGTTAGAACGGAAAATGGCCGGACCGTTCCTAATTAATGCAAGGAGGAAGCGAACTGGCAGATCCATTCGTGACTTATGAAAATTGTATTTCATATTTGCTGCAAAAATCGCTAGCTTGAGAACGAAACGTTGCACGATGTATCAACGAGTGCGCCAAAAAAGTCACTTAAAATAAAACATAACAGCATTGCAGTGTTGAGTCATATTGTAAACTATATATTATTTTTTTCTGAGGAAATGTGAGGTCACCAACAAGAATAATTATCTTATTCGCTGAAACCGTTCGTCTCACTTAAACAAAGCTCCCGTCTCGAGCAAGACTGTCAGCTAACAAAACGCAAAAGATAATTACGACCATAATTCTCATCTCGTGTTAATATAATTACCTTATCTTACTATATACCGCCGCAAAAAGGTTTCTCTTCGATATCTTTTAGAGTTAGCGACAATCATGAGGATGTGTGTGATCGCATAAGTTTCACCTGTTCATATCAGATTGATATATCCTTTTTGCCAACGACTATACAACGTCACACATCGCGTTTTTATGGGAAAAAATCGGTATTTGAAAACAAAAAATAAAAAATGTATTAATAAGAAACAATTAATAAAACAATTTTAATGGTAATTACATTCCTATCTTAAAAATGTTTTGTCCGTCAATTTATTCGTTGGATTCAACTGGAATCGCTAGTGTCCGGCATTTGCATTCTGACTGTAGTTTTTTACTTCTAAATCGCTTAGGCGCACACTTACGCAGAAAGTCTATTTTTTCTCATGTAAATAATGCTTCAAATTTAAAATGGCTTTTTTCCATGCTTTTTGCAGCACTATGCGTCGTGGCGATGTCAAAAATGTCCGTGAAACTCAATGTGGACCAAAATAAAAAAATATGACTTAAATATTTTTTGTACTTCTATATTTGTGTCAAATTAGAAAGAAATCGGTGTGTAACTTTTGGGTAGGTTTACTTGTCAATGTCGCACAAAGACGATTCGCGTATGCGTCTATGCACGCACGTTTGTGATCTTCAGAGAGCATAACGACCGCGAATCCAGAGATAAGACTCTTTATCGCTATTAAAGAAACTCGTAAAGAGAATACGAAGGTCTTCTACGAGAAGCAAAAAGAGGCTGGGAAAGCTCGGTAAATCTATAGCGTTTACTTTGGGATTTCGTGATTCCAGCAAGGAGAGCGAAAATACATATGGTATATAAAATATTAAATAAATCAAGAACAAAAATGCGCTCTTTATATGGTCTCATTAGAGTTTTTTTAATAAGACGTTTTCTTGGAATCCTGCCCTTACACTTGGGATACTCGTCGACATTAGAGATTGATTTTTAATTAGTTTTAGGACACGGCTACGGAATTTATCGCAGTGGACGAGCGCGCAAGTAATGATCGTGTTCTTGGTAATCTTTGATCGTGCTTCATCCAATATATAATACCCCTATGGTTCCTAATGATCGAATCTCCGGCACGATTAAACGAGATAATTACTTTTCTTGCCAGTCTGGACGCGACCTTATCGAGGATAGCCGAAGGACACTATCGTATCATTTGTCAATGCCTTCTTTTAGTATATAAAGTGTACCTACGGGAAAACAATCTTGCATTAATTATAAAATTTCATTTAATGCCTGATATTGACGTAATTTATATTCAGGATTAGCGAATTGTTTTGTCTTAATATTAATTTACCATCATATAGGAACCTCAGAAATATAACTTACCCGAACAAAATATGAACAATAGGCCATTTGATCCCGCTGTGAATGACAATTTATTCGTATATTTTTTCATGAGCAAGGAGCAACCCTTTTCAACGCGACAGAGCGACTGTTCGCGCGCTGAAAGAGATTTGCGTGTGCGGCCATATTTGTTCTCGCGACAAATGGTCCACGGCACGGGCAATGAAGCGGATTAACCGGGATGCACGACGATTCGATTGCTCGTTTACCACGGCGATCATATGCCAGTAAAACGCAAAACTCGTTCCTACGATAATCCGTCTCTCTCTCATCACCCGAGTGCTCCTTTCTTACCAAGCTCCGCCGACTCGCGCGCACGCAATTTACCTCCACTTTTACCCTGTGGTAAAGCATTTTGCACCAGCGTGTACAAGTTCGAGCCGTTTTATCGAATTCTGATCTTCTCCCTGGCTCCTCTGTCCTTCACCGCCGCCTGAATGTGATCCGACTGATAGTCGTATACGATGCCAGATGTTAGGCCAAGGCAATTTGCGCAACGATCGATTTACGACAGCCGTATACACGTTTATATGTGCGCACACGCGCGCGTGTGCACGGCGCCGTGGTTCGCTCTTCTCTCTTTAATGGAACTCCAATAAAGTCGTTCTCGCCCGAACGATCTTGTATCACGGCTTAACGTGGTTCAATGGCTCGGCGAGCACTGAAGAATTTATTAAAACTATACTGTGCGCTTGTGCGTGTAGTAATGCGAGGATAGTCTCACATCTTTAAATACGTAAATTATGAGCTTCTTCGTCTCTTCCTCTCTACCTCTTGATATAACAAAACATTCTCGTCAATAAATATCCAAAGTAATTTCACAATATTTGGGGGGATTTTGTTCACCTCTGGGGCCGATTAATGAATAATGGCAATATTTTTCCGCAACTGTGCGTCAATTTTAATTTGACATTACTCAAAGTTGATGCGCCAACCACTATTAGTTGGTATACCATCAAACGAGTAATAATGTTAAATAAAGGATAAAGGATTGGGCAATATCATATAATGGATTCCCGTGTTCGTTTACACGCAATGTCCATAGCGGCTCGTAGAGATTTCGGTCTTCGATAGTTAGTGGTTCGAGGAATTCGACGGCAGGATATCCGATCAGCGTTGGTAGACATTTTGTAGACCGTTAGTCGCTTGTTGACGAGCAACTGTTTGGACATTATGCCCTGCTTCCATGTAATCTCACCGATCTTTCCCGGTGTTTCTCGCGGGGAGCGGGACTTTGGGGTGGTTGGTCGTGTGGCGATCCATTACACCTTCACCGCCGTATCATCTCGCAGCATCAGAGACAAAGGACCGCAAGAAGGCGAGGAGGAGGTAGGATCGAAAAGAGAAAAAAAAGGTATCCGCGTCAACTAGCGGCTGTTGCACGCGGAAAGTTCACGTAGCCGTCGACGGTGACAGACTTTGACCGTGGAAGCCGATAAGATCGCTACCCTCGTGACATTCGTCGATCTATCATCCGTTCGAGATCATCCCGCGCCTCCATCTTCGGTAAGATCGTAACGGGATAATGTGCGGGCTGAAGGAAGTCCTGCCATCTGGCAAGGCCTCCATTATTAGGCTGCAAATGAATCAGGGTTAATTTTTACACTCTTAAACGTGACGTTATTCGATAGTTCCCATAACAGTATCCTATTTTAAGTCGCGAGGATTGCATCTCGCTTCAACAATCGATTCCTCATACCAGTTTGTAATGAGAATGTTAATTTCCAACTGTCCAAGCGCGTCACGAAACATTCTCTGCCGCGGAATTATCCCACCCCGATGGGACGTGGATATTCGAATTGGGTAGTTGGCTCCTATCTACGCGAGTTGGTCGGAGGAAAACGATGGACGTGGACGGATCCGCGGAAAGACGTGGGCCGTCGGCGTGTGGGTGTGCTTCACGCGGGCAAACGAAGACGAACAAATACGAGGACGAGGTGAGGTAGAGAAGGAGCGCATTAGGAGAAGCAGATATATGGTCGCGGCATGGAAGAAGGACAGACGCGTCCCGGTTGCAGACCCAGGGAGAGACCGGTGAAAGAAGAGACGGTGGAGAAGAGAGGCGGTGTGGCAGGAGAAGCAGGAGGAGGAGGAGGAGGAGGAACGGGAGACACAGAGGGAACTTGTTATGCTTTGAGAGATATGGCGGAGGCCCGCGGAATACATAATTTTGTAAAGACAAAAATGCTGCGGTCGTGCCTCGGCGGAGTCGCATTTTTCCTTGTTTCACGAAATGTTCAGGCTCGCCTTTCCCTCCTCCCTTCGTCTCTCCGTCCTTCCTACCTACCTTCCTCGTCCCTTCGTCCTCCTCCGCGTTCTCTTCCTCCTCTTCCCTCAATTCTCTCTTTTTCTTCCCCTCTTTCGTCCTCCTGGTGTCCTCCTTGTCCGAGTTACCTCCGCGCATCATCCCCTTCTCGTTTCTCCGGTAATGCGCTGCGGAATGAGAAACGTTTTGTAAAAAATGTATCCGCATCTTCGTAGGTACGTACTGTGTGTATCTAGCCGGGGCATATCGCGCGCGCGCGCGGCTGCGACCGCACAGATGTGTACCGAGGGGAACGTGTTGCCACGTCGTTGCGCGTGTACGTGTTAACGTTGCCGTCGTCGTCGACGTGAATTCTGATGCCGGTGCGTTTGGCAATTTGCGAGTTCCCAGACCGAGATTTGTCGCTGACGCAACAAATACGAGGCGCGACTGGACCCGAATATATATATTTATATTCTTTTTTTTACGAGGCACCGCACCCTCACCCTGTTCCTGACTCTTTCGAATATTCCCAGTCGATGCTTTCGCTTTGCTTTCCATATATCAAATTTTAATGTTCAAAATGCGCGTATATTTTGGAAATTTCTGTCAATTGCAAAAAATTATTCAATTTTCTCTCTCTTTGCTCGCTCGCTCTCTTTTTTTCACGTTGTAAAAATCATATATTTGTCGCATATAAATTATTTTTCAATTACAAATTATCAATTTGTTTTTTATGTTTTTAAAACAGCTAATCTATTATATTTTTCACGTCTCAAAGTGTACAGACATTTTCCGACTACAATTCTTTAACTGAGATATCGGCGAGGTTATAAAGAGCGAAAGACTGTTGTATCGAGGACAAAATGTGGCCAATAAGCGTTTGGTCACGGAAATAGGTGAGACGTGCATAAAGGGGTCTCCGAAAGAGAAATTTCCATAAACTTCCCATCTTCTCGCTCGTCGGCTCGTGTCTTCTTCTACCTCTTCGTCTTTCTTTTGCTCGAGCACGAGTCCGTCTTCTCTCGCGAAGGAAGGAAGGAGCCACCGTCCTCTCTTCCTCGCGCAAACCATCACTGCACTCACTCGCTCTCGCTCCCGTGCATAGTTGAGATCCCTAACTGATTTTAGTGGTTTCCCTTTGACTTTTTGACGGCTTACAAGGGCCGACAACCATTCAAATACTTCTGTAACCGCGTGCAGGGACCGTCGGCTCTATAACTAACCTCAGCTAACTCTTGAGAGGGTCAACTTTCCTCTTCTTCCTCTCTCTTGTCTCTCTTTCTTGTTTTTTTACATGACGTCAGAGATGGGTCTCACAATTAGAGTACTGCTATGGACAATCATGATTCTGATAGAGAAAGTCAATTAGATATATCACTAATAATCTATTGTCAAAATGAATGGTTTCATAACATAAAATATTTTCATCTATAAAATAAATATATAAAATATTTTCATCTATAAAATATTTTCATAAAATATTTTCATCTATTGAACAATAATCAACTTTTAATAGGGTCAGTTATATCTGTAGGCTGTCTGATTGATATCTGTCATTACTCTCTTTCAATTAGTCACATTGTACATGAAATATTAAGTCTTCAAAAAAAGAATTTGGCTTTCTAAAAATATTTTCGTAAATGAAACGACTAACCTAATAATAGATTATTACACATTATATTGATATCATTATACTTGTAAAATTATTAGCGAGTGTGTCAATAATACATGTGGAATAATATAATTAACTGCAGAAGCAATGCAAGTGTGAGGGCAGGCCTGTGGTCCGTTTGGGACCTTCGGAAAGTCGGTGAACTAATGAAGCGGTCAGGCGATCATAAAAGGTAGGCGAGTTGCGCGTCCGTAATGAAGAAATAAAATTATATGTCTCTCTTCCTCCCGCCTGCGTCTTGTCCCTCGTTGCCTCGTCGGTTTGGTGCGTACCGAGGCGGGATACAAGGCGAACGTAGCTTTCGCTCTCTCGCACCTCACCGGAGACTCCATTCTTTTTCTCTCTTTCGCGGTTTATCCGAGTCACCGATCGCGTAGATTCCGAGAACCGGCCGAAACAATATCATAACTCGTTGGAGCCGGGAGCCGGCAGCCATAAATAGAAATGTTCGTACCTGATACAAGGAGAGCCGACTGCTTCGTATTCCACCCGCGTAAGGGGATAAGGGGAAAGGAGTAAGTTGGGATAATTATGATGCGTCTTAAGCGTCACCGACCGATCGGTTTTTGATAGCGTTGCGCAGCGATTCAGGGTAGCATGTGCTACTCGTAGCCTGGGAACGATTGTCTTTGCAGAATCAAAATGCGCGATCGATAGAATTATGAATTTATCTGATAACTTAGCAATACCAGACCTAGTTCGCCGCAGCTATGCTATTCTTTTTCAAATCTTACGTATCGCCGAAAACATTGATCCATCAGGACTTTATAGATTTCTCTTCTTTATAGATTTCAACCCGTTTTCGCGAATGGATGTAATTACATTAACTCGCATATATTACACGAGATATATAAAAAATGTTATGATTGTATAACAATGTGTTTTCCTGAGGATTCCTCAGCAGCTCGCGATAAATATCTCAGCGTTTACGCGAAAGTTAACCCTGACTGAATGCTCGTGAGCCTGGGGAAGCTGAGGAACTGCCGGGTTGGTCGGGGACGGAAGTGCAATAAAACGAAATAAACGATGACGATGGTGCACACGTGTTCGACACAATTACTATTCCGCGGTTGTGCCTGCCCGGTGACTTATGTTAATGCTGTAATTATATCATCCTAATCTACCGAGTATACGGCGCGTATATGTATCCTACGTGGTCGCATCCTATCAAATACCCATCTTGAAAACTACCATACGTGCCAGAATGCAAGTTCAAGCTGCGAGTCCCTGTCGCGGTTGCCGTGAAACTCGGAAAGTACTGAGCATTCGGCGAGCTATCCGAAATTTTTCGAAGACACACGGTTAAATGCAATAATTGACAGCATATATGCAAATAAATTATTAAAAATATAACGATTATTGGGCGTGCATACTTTTAAAGAAAGTTGTTTCTAGTTGTTTCTAGTTGTTTCAGTATCACAACATAATCTTCTTAAAATTTTTAATTCACTTCAACCACGTGAATATATATATATATATATATATATATATATATATATATATATATATCACGCTTCTTTGTGTCGTGCAGATTATACATGATCCGTTCGTAATAAGAGAGAATACGCATTATGCAAATGTGCACATGAGTCGTGTGCAACGCGCCGACAGAAAGATTTTCGCGCGGTGTACAAATTAATTATTTCCTGCAGGCTTCTCGCGCGACAGCCGGGACTGTCGTTTGCCTCGCGATGTTGATAACGAGGATGAAGTTATTCAAAGGAAACTGGATCGCTTTGGTCATCTTTTCCACGGATTTCCGTTCCTTTGACGATTCCACTTCATTCTCTTTGGTCCGAGTCTTTCGACATTCGCCACGGACAGCTCTGGTTGGTTACCTCCGCCTTCCAGAACGAAGAATAGACACTAGAACTACGGGCTGTGCTCGCTTAATCCGCGAATCGAAGCTTTCATGCATAATTCATGGCTCTCCTTCTCTACTCCCCTGCCCCCTACCCACCCTCTCTCCCTCGCTCCCGCTATCTTTTGAATCGGGAACTTTTGGAATTCCCTCTGTCGTTTCTGGAGGGAAAATTTATAGCGCTTATGGCATTCACACTACGGAGAAAAGTTCAAGGTGTTCGGCGCAACCAATGTTCGGGTCCGGAAAACGCACCACCGTGAATCGCTAAGCGGTGTCTGCGGTGACGCGTTAATGCAATTATTATATGTCTCGTTGTAACATATGCCGCGACATAAAACGTTGTCTAGCTTGGGACTGTCATCATGAAAATTGCATTAAATTACGTAAGGCTAAATTGCTGGAAACGAAACGAATGTGTATCTTGATACGAGGAGACTCTCGACCTCAATTTTTATTAATATTACGACAGACACGATTATTGTATTCTTGGCTTGTTCTCTCTCACTTAATCGGTATCCAGCATCTTCCAAATGAAGCTATTCATAGCGTTATTCCTCGAAGACGGACATCGGACGATGCTCGTAAAATTTCTCGTGGAACACGCCTCGTCCCACACAGGGAGAGATCACACTTAATGATGATTGCCGGCGTCACCCGTATGCGATCAATCTCAAATCAGCAATTGAAATTGACACCGACTCGATGACGAGAGAAAGACGCGTGCAAAGGGGAAAATCCCAACTTCCTGCGTCTCGCCTCAGCCACCCGCATATATGCATTAGGCTGCTCACACGCGCGCGGTTCCGTACATAATATCAATTTATGTGCCATAACGGACAGCGTAGTCGCGTGATTGGATCCTTCACGCCGGCTTCTACAACGTGTCCACGGCCGTATAGCGGGTTCACATCTAATACTGCCACCCTATAAATTCTGAAATATTAATAATATCCTTTTCCCCTTGCAACCCCCCTCCGTTTATTTTCTCTGACCGCCACTGCGCGCTACGACGCGTCCGGGGTATGCGGTGTGAGACGGCTTGCATTATCTGAGAATTTATGGTCATTTAGACAAAAAAGGCGTCAGTTCCCTTTAAACTCACTCGTGTTCAATACCTGCTCATCGCTATTGAATCCAAAGACGTAGAGAAATGCTACCTAAGGAGAATCATGCTGTGTAAAAGTAAACGTTACGATTGGTCTAATATTTTGGAATTACGATAATACGGTTTGTACGAATTTACAATTCTGATATGACTACGACAATAGTTACATGATCATTAGATGATGCAACTTGTGTCTCAAAATTCAAATGTATCGGATTAAGTCAAAAACAAAGACTGATTTATGGAAGTACTCGCGCGACTTAAATCGTGCAAAAACTTGCTCGCAACAAATGAAAAAGTGTCGCATTCGTCTACGAAAGCTGCCTACCAAACCCTGATGACTATAATTGTCAAAATGTTAAAATGGCACGTCCATACACTCTCTTTCTCTCTCGCTGCTGTCTAACAGATTTATGGCTGCAGAATTCAGCGACGGTACATGTCTCGCATTCGTACAATTTCGGAGACTATATTAGCATTAGAGAGAGACGGCCGGTAAGGCCCAGGTAGATCATCCTACGCGTTGGCCCAACAGCGACAAACC